TTTCCATACAATTTTTTCACTTTCTTTTTTTTTCCATATAAGTTCTGTCATGTTTCCAGGCAAATAGATAGGAAAAAAAATCACAAGGTGTTTGGTGATAAAAATTAAAAACTGGCAGGGTCCCCAAATTGACCGATTTCATATTACTTTGTATACGAAAAAAAGTATATTTTTCGCCGCCGCATGGAGATGTACAAAGGCTTCGAGAGCAAAGGCCACATGGGGAAAGAAAAATAAACATGAAATGGGAAAATATTCTAAGTACATTTTCGGCAAATTTGCCTGTGCAATCTAAAAAATCATATTCTATGTAAGCGGCGAAGCTTCTATATTTCTATAATGATCTTTTGACATAACTACATTTATACGAACACAAAGTTATCAATCAGCTGTGGGGACCTCCACACTTAGAACATCCCAAAACATTACAATGATCCACTGACATAAACTATATTTATATGAACACAAAGTTATCAATCAGCTGTGGGGACCCCCACACTCAGTGATCTATTGACATAACTCTATATATATATTTATATTTGAACACAACGTTATCAGTCAGCTGTGGGGGCCCCCAGACTTAGAACATCCCAAGACATTAGATACAACATATATATATATATGTATTTATCATGATCTATTGACACAACTATTTTTATTTGAACACAAAGTCATCAATCAGCTGCGGAGACCCCCACACTTAGAACATCCCAGGACATTACAACATATATGTATATATGTGTGATGATGATGATGATGATGATGATGATGATGATGATGATGATCTATTGACATAACTCGATTTGTATGAACACAAAGTTATCAACCAACTGTGGAGACCCCCACACTTAGAACATCCCGAGACATTACAACAGACACACACACACATATAGACATCTGTAATGATTTATTGACACAACTCTATTTTTATGAACCCAAAGTTGTCAATCAGCTGTGGAGACCCCCACCCTTAGAACACCCCAAGGCATTACAACATGTGTATATATATATAATATATTTCTAAAATAATCTATTGACATAACTATATTTTTATTGGCTAACATGTTGATTCGGCGCAGAAAAAAAAATAAACGTGACCGAACTCTTTGTTTGTGATGTTATGTGTGGGGAGCCAGGGTTAGTTGCAAGGAGCCTCACACTTAGAACATCCATTTCCTGATGTTCTAACTGATTTGGGTCATTAGTGTCCACCATGTTCTAAGTGCGGGGGGTCCCTGATGTTCTAAATGTGAGAGTCCAAAATTTTGGAAAAAAAATGACATTCTATCATTGTCCGGCACTATAGACGCCGAGGTTTCGTTTTCATTGCAGCATGCACAGAATTTGACATCAAGCATGCGTGGGAGAGAAACATGCGCGTGTACCGGCAACGCCGTGATGTGCGAAAATCCTTTGGCTGGGTTTCCGCCAGCAAAATATAGCCACGCAGGCGCACGACGAATTGGTTGATAGTTGTTTTTCAAACAACCTACATATGAAGGTAAGGGTTCCATGGCTGACGTTGGGGGATGCGATCATGGTGTGAAAATTGGTTCGCTTGCATTTTGCTCAAATACATTCGTCTGGCCAAAATACATCGTGCCGTCCGTTGCCCCTTTTTCGCGATTATTTTCTGAACATTTCTGCGGCCCACCCTTCTTTTGCGATTTTTTTTGGGCACATGCCCTGAATTATCACTTTAGCTACATTTACAAACAGTGCCTTTCGCAATTGTCGTGTTCGGAAGTTTTCGTGAACGTGAGTCTCGTTTTGCAAGAGCAAGTTGATTGAATCGCCGTTCGTCGGATCACTTGGCAGGTTTTGGACGATTGCCAGTGTGCACATATCTAACATATCCCTGATCTTAAAGAAGAATGATTCCATACGTCGAACATACGTGACAGCAGTTTGCATTCCGGATTTTTGGTTGCAAGAAATCTAGTGTTTAGCGGCCATCACTTTGCACAGTTCCAGCTGGCGATGGCATGTCCGATCATTTGCTCTCAGTATTTGCGATCCAATCTTCCACAACCGCTGGCAAACGGAACCGGGCCTGGCAGGTGGTGAGGGGTTGGTGTGAGGTAAAGGGGTTTGTGTGTGTGTGTGCGCGCGTGTGTGTGTGTGTATGTGTATCAATTGCAAGTGTTTTTCCTTCCGCTGCAGTCGCTGATGGCAGACAAGAAGGCACAGTTTCTGAACACCGGATCTCATGTGCGGAACATTTAGATACTGTTTATCCTCATTTTACCTATGATATGATGACCACATGTTGTTTTTGCAGCTGCTCTGTTCCTTCGGGTTTGCCGCCTCAATCTTGCACGAAGGTTGTATGCTTCCAAAGTTGCATTGTGGTTTCAACTCGACCTGAAACAGGTCATGATTCCTACATTTCAGCACGATTCCTGCCAGCATTGCTCCAGTTTCAGCCTTGACCATTGCCATGACACGCGTCCAATTTGGCTCTGCACTTTTTGTAGAAAAAACCGCACACGGCCACCACTACTCCCCCACCCACACACACACACACAGGCACTGCTGTACAAACCGAACCTCAGCAATCTCAATTTTGACCGATTTTGCGGTTTGCACCCATTTTGGCCTCAGTGCCTTTGTGTCTCTTGATGCAATGTGCATTCTCTTTGTTGCAGTCATGGGTGTTGCATTGCTACAAACTATGAGTCTATGATCAATTTTATTAGATGAGATGCATCTACAAACATGGTTCGTCTTGCAGGGCAAATCCTCCCGTACAGAATACATTGCCATCCCGTGAGAAAAGGTGAATGTCTGTCCTTGCAGATCACCTACACCCAGGAAGTCATGAACAAATCATCAACGATCAGCACAACCATCCGTGTGCACCATATTACGACGTCCGGTTAAATCCAAGGCAGTCCAATACCGCCAAAGTTTGTCGACCGAGATGTGTCACATAAAGTCCTTGCATCATTGAGCGCCATTTCGCCAAAACACAAAAACTGCATCACCGCTCACAAAGGGAACGCTTCAAAAAAATAACTATTCGGCCACACACATGGTTTGACACACTGCTAGCTCCCAGCTATCATTTTGCCACTTGCGCCCATCGGGGCATGCCACGTTGTGAATACTGACCAATACGACCACAAAGCGAAATTTCATTTTGAAGCGCCTGGGCCCTTCAATCAAAGCGTGGTTCTCAAATTGACGCATGTCCACACAGAGGTACTTTTTGACAGCTTGTGCCACGCAGGTTCACTTGGATTTTATGGTTGCAAATAGTTGCAGATGCATGTTCAACAACATCACTAGTTCGCCCATGCGAACATGCCAACGAACTGTGGACGCCTGGCTTCTGTACACGTTAGTAGCGAAATACAAACCACATGACGACAAAGTGCAAAAGTGGCAACTCCAATTGGTCCTTGTCATGTCATGGTAGCAAACATTGAGGTTCATCCTTTTAAGCGGAATGTCATTGGTAGCAAACACTCACAGCGAGATATTACGAAAGCCCTGGTGACTTCTGATGGACTGTGTTGCTCACACCGTGCGTTCGAACTTCTCAAGCACCACTTGTTGGAACAGGTGGGATGCATATGGATTAGCACCAGTGCAGGGCCGATCCATTTTCCATGCTGATGTGTGACCTGAGAAACGGATGTTAGATTCTACCATGCGGGTCAAAAGACAGCCCGTCTAGCCATTCCATCTTACAGGACCTTGTGTCTTTGTGCACCAGCGCCATTCCATTCTTCTAAAAACCTTGTGTGTTTTGGGTTGACTGCACATCATACGAAGATACACAAAGACTCTTAAAGGATTCAAAAGAATCCGAACTGCAGCAACGAATTACTCCAAAAAGGTCAGTGCCACGATCTGAAAAAGAAAAATGTCTTCATGCTTCGTTTGGGTGTTTTGGTGTGGAGCACGAATGAGGATTCCTTTGGACTGCATTGCTTGAAAAAATGTGCATGTTGAAGTCAATCTCGTTCCCAACTATGTAGATCTATGTACAGTAGATTTTGGACAGCGCAGATTCTTGGTTGGAGGCCGAGTGAAGCTGCCTATCTGCCGTCGCGCATTCATCTGGCAACATCGATCAGTTTGTACCATATTCCCTCAAAAATGTGTTGGAAAAAATAGAGCGATGTGCCGACCACTGTTGTCTACTACGCGTCGCATCGTGCCAGTGCTATAACAACGGCCTTCAGCTGCCTTGGAAAAGGATCCTCCTAGACGGCAACACTATAGAACTAGAAACTGCAACATTGTCAAAGGGTTCAACAAATTTCTGCCAGCAGCCGGCAGGTGCAAAAACGCCGTGGTCAATAGTTGCAGACACAGTACCGGGATGTACCGGGCCCTCACGATAATGTTGTAGGAAGAATGTGCATTTCGTGTGATTCTGTTCCCAGCATGCCCTGACTCTTAGTCGTGCTGCTTTTTCAAGGGTTCAAATGGGAATGGCATTGCTGTTTTGTTTAGCAAGTCCATTGGGCAGCTAAACGGGTGGAACTAATCGTTAATTTTTATGTTCGAACTAGCTAGTGTGGAGGAAGCATTGTTCAGACTACCATGAGATTTTCCAGACATCCCTTAAGAGGAAAAGAAGTGCATTTCTGAGCGAACTGTAATACAAGTGAAGGCAGTGACCACGCACCCAGTAAGTGGATACTTACTTCGAAATTTGTTTGTATCGCCCTTGGTATATATTCTGAAATATTCGATCAGTTTCGCATCTTGTCGGTCAAATGACGAAAACGATCTGGAGCCTTCAACATATATAAAAATTATAACCCCAAATAAGGCTGAATTTGGGTTTCACACAACACAAGATACACAACATAAACCTACGTATTCACCATGGAATATTTCCTTCTTGATAAAAGGAGTGGCTCAACTTTGCAAAAAAAAACAGGTTCCTATTCGGAAGTCTGCTGTTAATACTTGTTACACCATGCTGCACCAAGTAAGTGCGGTGATTTCAGCAGGACTTGGTTGGTCCTACCGCAACCAGCCTCCACTACCATGGCCCCTGTGCGGCCACTGGCTCCAAGTACAGCAACAACCGGCCTTCCAAACACCAAAATGAAAAAGACTGAAGTCACAAAAAATATCTATTAATATGTATATATATATATGCATATAAATATTTTTCATTATATTATATTACATTATATTATATTATATTATACTATACTATATCATATTATATTATATTATATCATACTATATTATATTATAAATTAAATTAAATTAAATTATATTATATTATATTATATGTTATTTTATAATACTATCCTATCCTATCCTATCCTATCCTATACTATACTATACTATACTATACTATACTATCCTATACTATCCTATACTATCCTATCCTATACTATACTATACTATCCTATCCTATCCTATACTATACTATACTACACTACACTACAGTATATGATATGATATTATATGATATGATATGATATGATATTATATTATATTATAGTATAGTATAGTATATTATATTATATATAGTATTTCATATTATACTATACTATACTATACTATACTATATTATATTATATTATATTATCTTATCTTATATTATATTATATTATATTATAGATTTATATGAATGTTCCATGTATGGGTCTTGGGTTACGGTTGAAAACATTTCCTCTGCCTGCCATTGCCTTCGGCTTTCAGATCGACGGCCACCGTTCTGGGTTGCTGTTTTCCAATGCCAACGAAAGAGCCTAAGAGCGAGTATTGTGCACACGATCAATGATTCGAAGTAAAATGAATGGATTGCCCTCTCTCAAATTTATTTTAACAGGCACCGATCCAAAAATCCACCACAATGATGGGACCAAGGAACATTTTGAAGCGCAAAAAAAAACTGTTGCAATCAGACTGACCTTAGTCAAGTGCAGCAGACCACAAAGTTTAATGATCATGTGAATATGGGTGTCTGAAATTCTGTGCATGTTTCACTATTTTCAAGCCAAGACCTCTCAACTCAAATGGTCACCCCGCACGAACAAAATCACCCCCCCTTGGAATCCAGTCCTGAACGGTAGAACGCAATTTGGCCATGTTATCAATGACGCCAAATGCGCAGTTTGACCACCCTACTTTTAAACGTTTCGGAATCATGGATGACGCCTGATTCATCGCGCAAACGAACATAAAGGGCGAAATGTTTTAAAATTGCAACATATTGCAACGAATATATGATATAATTCCCTGTTTTTTAATTGCAATCAAAGTTTTGAACCACCATGACCATGTTGTCCTACATTTGCACTGGGGCGCTGGAGCCAACACCATGTTGTCTGGCAGCCGCACTGGGGCAATGGACACTACCAATGGAATGTTGCGTTACATGTGCACTTCTACGAAACAAACAACATTGATGGTCTATACATATGACACATGTATGATATTTGCATGTGTTGATTACGCACGTGGTTTGTCAATTTGTTGTTCTTAGTCAGGATGCCTAGCGGAAATGAATTCAAATCATGTCGTGCCATGTCATGCCAAATCATTTCCTGTCTCCGTGATGTTGTGTCATGCCATGATGTATGTTGTCAAAACTATAGCTGCGCATGTTTGCAACATTATGCTCTGGTTACACGGATGAACAAGAACATGTTTTGGCACGCATTTCCATTTTGATATTTTGTGGCGAAGTCCACGTCATGTGAAATATGCATGTGCCGAATGTTTTTCAACGAAGGAGTTCATTGGTCCGGGCAGACCAGAAAACATTGACCCAAACAAATATGAAGATTGTAAGATGCGTTTTTCAAAATAAGTAAAACCAACCAACCATGGGCGAAATCATTCTGGCACTACATTCAAACACAAAGCGAGGGAAGATGCACACACAAATCACATTATAAATTAAATGGAAATGTGCACCACGACAGTATGATGCAAATGTGACTTTGCGCGCGCGCAGTCACAAAAAAAAAATCGCTTCGCGTTGGATTTTTGAAAAATCATTTTTCTTTACATTGGGCGTATTGCAAAGCAGGCGCCTGTGACCATGCCACGATTGTTACCCACAATGGCAATTAATTTGTTTCTGCGAAGCGGGCTGCCATTCTTTTTCAAACCAAGAGGGCCTCAAATGAATCCAAATGATTTTCATGTGCATGTGATTGAAACTGTTACACTTTCATCTCGATTTGTGCCAATGTCATCCTTGCGTAGGGAAATGCAAATCATGCGCGCCCCTCCTTGCGATTTTGAATTTGCTGATCAAATGTCCCATTTCTTCCATTGCGTCTCATCAGTGCAAATCAACAGCCATTGTTGCTGCCAAATCACATTTCCAGAGAAAAACAATTTTATGCATTCAAGGCGTATACATTCCAGAGATTCTGTTGCATTTTTCTGCTGCATTCATTCTGTTCTGTCCCACTGTTGTTGATGAAAGATCTGTGAAGGCCTCGAACATGCGACCCCTAAACCTGACTGTCATCACTTCATTGATTCAAACTCTCACTGCCTGAAGAAATTCCAGAATCAAGTTTTGCATCGCAGAATTCACCACGTTCTAGGTAAATCGCATGTTCAGCCTTCAACAGTTCTACCATTCCCTCACTTGACTGCGGGGTAGTTGAGGAAGCAGCTGTTGGTTCAGTCTCAATCATCAATTGTGCTGGATCTCTGCTTCTCACCTACAGTGCTTGCTTCAGGCAGACAGGCTCTCATACGTTCACATGTGCCATGACCTAGCGGAAGTTTTTGAAACAAGAAAAACATGTTAAATCAAACCATTTGGCAGCCACTGCCACAGACCCTGGTCGGAGCGGCCCCTTGATTGTGCGCCAAGTCCGCTCAAAAGAATTGCTTGCATGCGTAGTCAGGCCTAATGGCACTTGTCCCAAGCCGGGCCACCAAGGACCAGTCCAACCATGCTCGGTCTTTTCGAGAATGTGGTTTTCCAAGTACTTGGCCATGAAGGGTTCCCCCGAATCATTGGGGGCTTCGTTGCTTGCTCTTCCACAAGGTGCTGAACTCCAGGGAGCTAGGAAACCAAACGGATCCAAGAACAAAGGAAACCAGCACAGGCAGCATTTCTGTTCGTTTCAATCGGGGATCTCCCGTCACCGTGTCTATTTTCTTTGACTCTTGCGTAGGTTCTGCTTTGTGTGCTGAAGGCACCTGACCAGGAAAACGACGAGAGAAGCTGCCTACAAACCATGATCTCCGCAAGGAATGAATTAACGCCTGAGTTTAATATTTTATTGGACTCCTCCGAAATAACTCACCATAGCCCTTTAGAAGTATTAACTCCCAAGTACTTTCTATTCTAGAGGTTGGACTGTTGCCCCAGCGAGCGCCGGAGGCAGAATTAACTCTTGAGTTAATTCTGTGCATGTTGGTGTGTGGCTCTGGTGCCTCCTAAAAACAAAGACCTACTCCAACTGGAAGCCTTATTATCCCCATTGCAAATTCATTAGTGGAACTCATCGATGCTAAAGAAACATACAATCTAATCTAAACAGCCAAATCAAGGAAATACCCTTATACTGTATACTGGAAATAAACACGTCATCGAAATAGCCTATTCATGAAAATATTCATGAAATGCAAATACACATGTGATTCGAATAACCATAAAATAGAAATGCCATACTGGAGAACTAGTTATATACATAGTGCGAATACCCATGCCATGGACATAGCGCATCATATGAACATACCAATATAATGGAAATACGGATACCCATTAGAACACACTAAATCCATCACCCACTCCGATGCACAAAAATCATCTAGCTCTGTTAGGCCAACATACCTGAGCACCTGTGAAGCTTCAAACTTGTGAAGCCGTCCGAAAACTCCTGAGCCGCTTTGACACCTTGAAACAAAAGCAATCGCAGTAGCCATGCGTCAGCTCGATGCCTAAGGATTCCATGTGCTGAGCATACCTCAAGAACAATGCCTTTTGAGCATCCTCGTCTTCCACACGTGCGATGATAAAAAAGCAAGGCATCATATCATACGCATGTGAGGCGCAGATTTCTTGTCCAAACGCAATCCTACAAGGCCTATCCCTCCGAGACAAAGCTTCTGCTGGCCAAGGCAAAAAGTGAAGTCCATCAAAGGTACTAAGGTTGCACCCCTGCAAGAGCAGGGTGGAAACAAATCTGGATGTGTTCAGCCGTACAAACTGCACCCTCCCAAACACACACATTGGCAGGAGGCATGTTCACAAACTGCTGCAAGGAGCTAATGCAGTAGGCCACTGCTTTCTCTTGCACAACCTCTCTGCTGGGCCGGAAATTCTTGATTTGCCACGCCGCAAGCCTTTCATCCTGCGGCACTTCGTTCTTTTCCGTGAGCACCAAGGCCTGGGACGCTGAACCTTGTTGGGCATAGATAGGCCCGGGCATTGGCCCGCCGGGCAACCACAACATCTTTCTCCTCCCCATGCTGTCCCACTTGTAACACCTGCCAGGGATCCAATGCAAAAGAGTCCATCCTTTTCCTGTAGATAAGAAGGAAATGATGATCTGGCACTGGTGACTCAATGGTCGGCTACAGGATGGCCATATGGTCATTGCATGATGTTTAACTGACCTTATTCTGACAATTATTGACGAACATGGTCGTAAATGAAAGTTCTATGCCGTCTTGTATCAACGTTGAATGGTGGATGAATGCTGGCATGAACACTGCCGCCTCCATGCGAACACGTCTGGCTGCATGGCCCGGAACAGCCACTGCTTTGCACAGCTCACATGCTCAGTGCACCCAGCAATGTAGCTTGTCACACAGCCCAAGGTGGGAGGCATGGGAGAGCTGTGGGTAGCACCCTTTTGCTTCAGCCATCTCAAACCAGCAGCACGCACTGAGCCAGCATCACCCAGCTCAACCACTTCACAGGGCTGCCAGTCTTTACTTCTACGCCCTCTACCCATAGCTTGAGCCATAACCACTTGTCCCCACAAGTCCACACAAGCTGGCAAACAAACCCCAAAAAAAAAACACAAAACCCATTATCCAGATGAATCCAACCCCTATCCAAAAAGAATTAACTTGAGAGTTAATTCACCAGGGTCCGGAGCAGGAAGAATTAACTTGAGAGTTAATTCACCAGGGTCCGAAGCAGGAAGAATTAACTCTGGAGGTAAGTCCTTGGAGGAGAGTAATGGATTACCACAATCTAAACTAAAAGACTAAACTCCAGAGTTAATACCTCAGGCGTGGCACTTGCGCACATCAGCCTCCGTTTGGCGTGGCAGGCGTGGCACTTGGCGATTCACCTTCATTTTGTGTGGCAGGCGTGGCACTTGGCGACATCCACCTTCGTTTCGCGTGGCAGGCGTGGCACTTGCGCACATCAGCCTTCGTTTGGCGTGGCAGGCGTGGCACTTGGCGACATCAACCTTCTCAAGGCAGGCGTGGCACTTGGTCACATCCACAAATGAAGTTGCGTGGCAGCTGTGGCACTTACTCACATCGACCTACGTTTTGTATCTATTGTGCCTGTTTGATAGAAACTGTGTGGAAGTTGGTTCGCCGGATTTTTCTGGGAACGAAGTTTTGGACATTTCGTGTGAAGTCTCTCTGGCACTTACACCGATGGATGCACTTGCCGGATAGAAGTTCCTCGGAAGTTGTTTGATTTTTTTGGCATGAGCTTGTCGTCCTTGTCTAATGCTTCCAGTCTTGAAAGTAGTTTGTGAACGAGTTCATCAATGTCAAACTTTCTGGTTCCAATTTCTTGAAAAATATAAAGATGTTGTCTTAACAACTTGTGAGGCTGGCGCTGTGCCCTGGAAAGGGTGGGAAGCCAAGCGTGCTGATCACCACAAGCTCTGATATCTTCTTGGGCAACCCGACTGACGAGGAGATGGTGGTCACCAGTCATGACAACATGGGCTTCTACACTGGAGCACATGAGGTCAAGCTCATCGAGAGCAACTGGGGCCGCAGAATGCCGTAAAACCAAATGCAAAATGTTAAACATATCTTCTTTTTATTTGTATCAACTTCGCTGATGGTGTCAAACATTATATATAGTTCTATCAATCCTTCGGTGGTGTTTAGGGTTGAACTTGAGAACAAAATTAAAGGACCGGATAACCCCACAAGTCAACTTCTTCCA